TTTATGTTATGTAATACACAGTACTGTATAGCAGTGATAAGTTGTTTTTCAGTTTTCTTCTATCCAGATAGAAATGTGGCATCCGAGAGCTCCAGGATAAACCCACGTGTACACATGGACTCTGATGCACTCTCTACCATCTCCTCCATCCTGATAGACTACCAAGGTGAATGAAGACCTGCAACCTGGACCCCACAGATTGCTGAATAGAGACAGTCCTTAACTCGGTGAAGTGGACTTGACTGTGCCAGGAAATGGTATGGAACAAGGGGTGGAATGTTATGGTTTAAGGGTGACCAGCCTGAAAAGGAAGGACAGGTGGTGTCTGTAGGACCCTGGAGGGTCAGAGATCAGTACTGTTCCCTCCCCTTTCCGGCCACAGTCTATAAAAAAACAAGGTTGTCGCGGGCTTTTCCTGGCTTCCTGAACTGCTTCCTGTCGCATCTCGGGACAGTTGGGCCTAGCTCCACGTGCTCGGCAGCATCCACCACCATCCGCTCCCAGCACCACTGTGGTCCCTGGTGACGAGTCACAGCAGTCGCAGCAGCCACGAGGCACTGTTTGGACATTTCCACTTGGGACTACTGGGATCGGGTTTTGTATATACTTAAATATCCTTTGTCCCTTATTAGTTCCTTTTTTTCCTTTCCCCTGTTGTTTTCATTAAACTTGTTACAGTCTTAACTTCCAACCTTGTGCGAAGCATTTTTTTTTTATTATTCTCTCTCTATTCCCTTTTCTTAATCTTCCCCCTGGGAGGGGTAAGGGACAATAGAGAGAAAATCCTGATCTCTCTCTCTCTCTGACCCTTAAACAGAGACACTAGTCCTGGAGACAAAACAATCCCAAGTAGAGAGATCATAAACACCTTCTAGATCGCAACCCCATACAACCTAATGACAGTATTTATCTCCAAGGATGCAAAGACAGTCCTTGTCGTTTCACGTATGAAAATGTGCATTACGCAATTATAGAATAATTTACAGAATGCATAAGGAGTTATATTGAAATATTAGGAGTAGAATCTCATATTGAAAATATTTAAACATACCTATGTCTCTTTAAACAGAAAAAATTGCAGTGGAACATTACTGCTCTAAATTAAAGTAGAAAATATGTAATGGAGAATCTGAACATAAAACTGTTTTCCCGAAAAAGTCTTTAAAAGCCTTAGCATAACCTACTAACAACTATCTGCTCCATACAAGGATTACTGGACTGACTTTGAGCTGTAACTATTCCTACTAATACTGCAAAGCATTATATGTTAGTTCCTACCTCCACATTTCCACTGAAAGGGTCAGATTCCTAAAGTTTAGTAAACAAATCTAACCAATAAGAACCTGTATCTTGCCAAAACCAGAGAACTGACTCAAATGCTTTAAAATGAGTTTGTGTATGAGCAGTTTACTAGTTGGTAAACAGCCAATGGAGTTACTCCTACTTATCTGGCAGAGAGGTGGTGTAACAGTAATTCTAATTGGTGCAAACACACTACTTAGCGGTCTCAGGTTCTTACAAGCTAGGTAAGAGGCCAAAAACTCAAGGAGACAATGCATTTGGAATAAAAAATATCAGCCATTAATGCTTGCAGACTCAAGCCACACAAAAATAGCTGGAATTCCTGGTGACAATACATTTTTAGCTATGTAACAGGTTGCCACATTTGGACTCTAAGAAGGATGGAACAGAAACATAAAAAGAGTTTGTCTGTGCAAGAGTAATTTTTTATCATTTAGAAGACCTTTTAAAGCCCTAGTCATCACACCATATTCAGGAAGTGCTTCCTTTCATAACTCTCCAGCAACATTAGGGCAATACAAAGCCAGGAAACAACTTACAGCAGGATCAGGTATGCAACAGGAAAAAGGAACACCACACTTCTCACGACTTTTGCTTTCACTGCTGCAGTTGAAATATATGTTAAAGTCCCAGTCTTCTGGACCTTGGGCACCACAGCAATGGTTCTGCAACAGATAAACAAACATTTAGCATTTGGGGGTATTTTAGAGACAATTTATTCACTGAACAAATCCTCTGGAATGATATTTGTACATTTTCTCTAAGGCTGTGCAGAATCAATGGCAACATCAGAGTAAAAAATGACTAATCAATACTGTGGCTCTGTGAAATCAAAGCAATACATTTGGCATACTGCTCCTGGAAATAGGTGTCAGCATGACAAGCAAAACCATAAAAATTATCACTTCAGATGTAATCGCTAGATGCAATCAGCATACGTACAAAAATGGTGCAACAAAGTAAGGTTATATGAATGCTTTGTACCACATTATTTTCAAGTCAAACAAAACCAGAAAAAAAACACTATGAAAAACATTTCTTTAAATTTGTGACTCCATCCTTAAATCTTAATGAATGAAGAAGCTTTCTTCTTGTTTACTGTAAAAAGTGGATCCAAAGAATATACTTACTTTCTTTTAACAGAGAAGGCTTTCAAACCCAAATTAATTAAATGGTAAAGTCCCACTAGCTCAAAGGTCAACAGACTTAAGTATTTCACAGAAGTTTCTTGACCTAACCAGTGTAATGTAATTACCGTAATTGCAGGTTGGGGAAACTTCAGCATTTCAAGGAATGTTCAATTACTAGAACTAATGAAAGATACTTTCTTATTAAGTTTAGCTTTGCAGTTTACTAGCCTGGATATTTAAGGGTGCAAATCTTACCCTATAATTTGAATACCTGACACACTACACCATCACATGGATTTTCCTGATATCCCATGAAGTTCCATCCTCTTGGGATATCTTTAGCATCTCTCCTCTGCCCATTTTCTGTCTTCGCTAAATTTGTATTAACTGTCTGTGAGACTTCCAAAACTTGAAGTCAGTAAATGGATACAGAAGTTACCAAGTTTGACAGACATGGATGTGAACAGAGAAGAAAACTGTTTACACATAGTTTTCACAGGAAACGTGACTAAAAAGATGAACAGAATGGTCATAATAGGAAAAAACAAAACAAAACAAAACAAGAAAAAGTGATTTTACCATGAAGAAAGCAAGAGGTTCATTTTTGTCTTTATAGTCCCTCTTCCCTCACATATGTATGCCTTTGTGAAAAGCCATACAACCACTAAACATGTTAATCTACTATGAGGTCACTTACAGGCCTGAAAGTAATATAATTAGCCAGAGCAAGGAACTGCATACAAAAACCTCTCCAGGTCCCAAGGCACACGCTGAGAACAGCACAGGTCAGCCTAAGGAGTCCAGCTCTTCAGATGATAGGCTTCAGTGAAGCATTTGAACACAGCATTGCACCTTGTTCAACCCTTGCAGAAGTACACGTGCACTGCATACGTGCACTGCATACTTCCCCTAAGACTAAAGTACTTTCAGGTATGGATCAATGACAGACCAATTCAGAGATTTTTCTGGTCTTTCCTTTTTCAGGCTTATTAACTTGTTAATCTGGCTAGTGAAAAGTATTTAACTGGAGTTCAACTGTAAACCAGCTTAGAATATTAGCCTGGTTGGCTGCACTGAGCAAGAACAAAGCTGACAACGCTGAAATAGTTATGGGTGTTGTTCGTAACCAGAAGGAGCCCTACCTTAGAAAAAAGGTGCCCTTAGCACCAAAAGCTAAAGCAAAACAGCACTGAAATTCATTCTGGCAGCTGAGTCACAGTATGCTTCCACATTAATGCACACAAGACTGAAGGAACAGGATAGATAAGCTGCTAGTAATATACAGCTGACCAAACTGGTATCCACTCTAAAATGTACCTTGCCATCAAACTGAGCTACAAGCACAGATTTCTAAGCACGATCTTCTAGAAGATAGAATACAGACAAAACCAACCCTCTTCCATAAGGGAAAAAAATATAAAGGAGACAACCATTCCACCTCTTTGTGACGTACTCATGGATATACTCTGTTTCTCTCCATATACTTTTTTTTTTAACCACACAAATAAAAATCAGATGTCACCCTCACTGGTTGTTTCCAAGGCATGATTACAAAAGCAGCTGATTGAACAAAAGCAACCAGGCTCTTACTAGCATAAGCCTTGTCATCTGCTGGTGTACATCACTGTCTTCTGGTAACTGAACATTTAAAGGACCACAGGAACATAAACTTGTTTCAACTTTCCTTGATAACTGCCTGACTACAGACTAGCCTTTCCTAGTAAACAAAAACCCTCTTTTGCTTCAAGATGAGGTGCATCACAAGATAAAAGGCCTTGTGCTGCATCCCTGTACAAGACTGCAGCGTCTCCTAAAATAAAAGGGTAGAGCACCAGTTCCACGGCACAACTTCTTCAGGTTAAAGAGGTTTTTTGTTGCTTACTTCTCACTTAAACTGATGCAACACTGATCAGAACAGGGGAGCAAGTCAAGAAGGTCAAAAGGCAGATGGATGGTTGCAACAGCTTCCACATTTGCAGTTAGAACATCACATCTCCCTGACACTTTCAAGGGAGAAAGAGCACATCTGTAACATGGCACTATAAGGTACAGAGCATGATAAATCTGTAACACAAAAAGGAAAATCTCCAAATCTACATATTCTCCTAGAAGACAAGAAAAGTGACATGATAGTAACTTACAATTTTCTGTAGTGAATCAATGAGGTTCTGGAGATCAATATCATCTCGGTAGGATTTAATATTATTCTCAAAGAACTCCTTGACCCTGTCCCTCACCCAGTCCTGGAACAGGAAAGCTAGAACTGCCACTGCCAGCTCCAACAGGAATATAAATACAATTGCTCCACAAAACTGTAAAAAAAAAAAAAAGTCACAAGTTAGACACTATCCATTTATTTTGTATACATCTCTACTCCAACTCCACCAAAAACAGACACAGAAAACTAGGTTAAAATTCTCACTTAGTACAGATACTGTGAGAAGACAGCCTGTTAAAGGAGAATTCAATGTAAAGAAACCCCCAAGAGGTAGAGTTATCTTTTTGTTTTGATAACCTGAATTCAACAGTAAAATGAGTACTATACCACAGTCATTATGCATAGCAGTGAAAATACTAATAAATAAGAAACTGCAAAACACAAGGCTAAAGCAGTCTTGATGTTACTTCTTGGATTGTTTCCAATTTTGAAGAAGTCTCAGTATAAAAACAACCATCTAAGAGATTTCACATCAATCACTGCAGTCCCCAAGTTTTGCCTACCAAACATTTAGAAGAAATTTTTTAAGATTTTAAGGGATTTTGTTCTCCCTAAGCCACTACACCATCTTCTCTCAGAAATTTCCAACTGACTAAATATGTTCTGGAACATCATATTTTGTGATAATACACACATAATGTTAGATTCCTGTATACAAACAATAACAGTATCACTGTACAGCAGAATGAACATAAGAGGGGAGAAATGTTTTCCAGAAAGGAGAAAACATATTTAGGTTTGAACCTACACTACTTTTAAAATCATTACTCATCAGGGGAGTAAGTTTACCATAAACAGTGTAACAAATCAAATTCTATACATTAATTAGCTGAGTTTGCTAGTAGTTCTTCACCCATCATTCCCAGTTTTCATATGCATAATAATCCACTCTATAATGATGTTACTTACAAACTTCAAGAGGCAGATGTTTTCTCTCAGTGCTCCTACACAACCAGCAAATCCCAAAGTAAACATCACTATTCCCACCACTAAGACAAGCACCACTGGGTCCAGACCATGAAGACCAGTCACCTTTGTCAGATCAGACAATACACCCTGAAAGAGAAAAACAGGATAACAGAAAAAAGTGACCACTACAAGCATATTTTTCATTTAGCATTCTTTCTGGATGTCTATAATTTCCACATGATTCCAAATGAATTTGTTGCAAACCCTTGAGTTTGCCAACAGCGAACCACATGGAAAAGTCTTGTAAAATGGTTATTGACAACACCAATTTTCTTCCCCCTTGCAGAGGAAGCATTAATGCAAACTTACAGATATTAACTCTTTCAATAAGTAAACCCAGTGCAGTCAACTTCTCAAATTACATTCCCCTAGGTCTATTTGCCAAGCAAAATTCCACAAGATGGTGCCAAAAGTCCAATACTAGCACTGAATACTCATTTAGTTTCAAGGCAAAATAATGACTGCTTTACATTAACTTGAATTATATTATTATTATTATTAATTTGAATTTATATTAAATTGAATCAATCAGCAAAAGGGCATTCCAATTTCAAAGTCTTTAAAAAAATAAAAATAATTTTTCCAATCCTAATGTTTAGGTAGCAGAAAGGGAGAGACATTACAACTACAAAGCAGGTTATGGGTGATATTTTAAGGAGTGGAACAAAATTTTGTTTCAGTTTTCACAGGAAGCAGATTTTTCCTTTCAACATTTTAATTATACTCCTTCTAGCACTGAGTAGTCTTAGGAACGCTCCTCCAAAATCTTGCTAAAAATACAGAAGTATGTTCTAAATATTCCCCTTTTACCCCAGTTAAAATTCTTACACCAAAAGAAGTTACCTATTCCCTATAAGATATTTGCAATTTGCTTAATTTAGCAGCAGTATTTTCTTTATTGTTAACTATCTAGAGATATCACTTATCTTGATAAGAATCTTACCTAATAAGGCTATCTGCCTAGATCTTAGGACAGAATTTCTATGTCTATATAAATGTGAGGGCTAACAGAAGTCCTCATCATTTCTAGATTAGGTCTTAAAGAAGTTAGATGTATATACCAGATACCATTAAAAATCTAACAAATACATATAACACAAGCTTCTCATGTAACGTGTAAGAACCAGACGCAACACACAGAAGACAGAAGGGACAAACAGTTGAAACTCTTAAAGTTAATAGGAACAATTTGTAGGGACATCCAGGCAGCCCTGCAGTACTCTGAGTGTTTATCATTAACACACAGAACAGTCTAATAAGGAAATACTTTCCCTTTGAAACAGAGAATTAACAAAAAATCACCACAGTACAATATCCCACACTTAGATGTTTACTATCTTTTGTTACTTTCTTTATAAACTGTATTCTCAAGCTAACTACATTTTGTGTAAGAGAAAGACTTGTAAAGTTCACAGTTCATATAAGCAGCCTAATTCTGTCACGGATGCACATTCACCTTGCTACTCAGTTATTTGTGCTAGAGCTAAGTGCAAATAATATACATCCTAAGAGAATATCCTGGAAAAATCTATATCCATCTTTAAATATAAAGACTTATTTAACAAAAATGTCTTCAAAATACAGCATTAGAAGAAAATATCCACATGGAGAAACTTTATCAGCTGATGAAAAGACCCTGATTAACAGCACAATAGTGATACACAGGAGTTCACACTCT